GGAACAAACTTTAATAACACAATTTAACCCTAAATGTTATTTGAACATGTAATCAATACAAAAATTTTAATGAGATAATTTACTTGTGGGGGGACTCTTTAAAATCTGGTGTGTATTTTACATTTACTGGACATCTCAATTCAGACCAGCCACACTTCAGGGGATCCATAGCCATAGGTAGCTAGTGGCTCTGGTACTGAACAGCATACCTGTAGAGGGGGACAGGAAAATACATTTAGAATGCATTGTGGTTATTCTTTAAATAAAATGTATGGAAAGAGGATAGAATGTCAGAGGATGCTATTTTATACAAGTCAGTAAAAGCCTCTCTGGCAAAGTTACTTGGGGCAAAGACCAGAAGGCCCTGAGGAAGGGAGCTATAAAAATATCTGAAGGAAGGCCCTGAGGCAAAGATCCATTTGAAGGACAGCAGAGACCAATGTGGTTAGAACTATATGAGTGAAGAGTAAACTAGGGGCAGAGCACGTAGGGCCTTGTAGGTTATGCAAAGAGAGTAATTAAACACCTGCCTTCCATTTAGGAGGGATTCTTCATTTATTTAGAAAACCTTAAAAAAAAATACAGTGGTGTGATCTCTCCCCCAATAGAGGAAATGAGGACCCTGGCCAGTGGGTAGATAAGAGTTTAAAAACAAGACTTCAGCTCCTGAAGTAAACTAACATTTTTCTGTCCTTTGACAAACATTGATCACTTTATGGACAAAGACAGATCCTTGCAACACCTAACACAAAGATGTAGCACTCAGAAATTATTTTAAAAGGCTACAAATTAATGTGACAGCCCAATAAAGAAACAAACAGTGCTTCAGCAGCACATATACTAAAATTGGAATGATACAGAGATTAGCACGGCCTCTGCACAAGGATGATGTGCAAATTCGTGAAGCATTTCATATTTGTTTTGCAGATTCTAACTACTATATATAAAATAGATACGCAACAAGTTTATACTGTATAGCACAGGGAACTATATTTAATATCTTGTAGTAACCTATAATGAAAAAGTATGAAAACGAATATATGTAAGCATATGTATGACTGAACTGTTATGCTATACACCAGAAATTGACACAACATTGTAAACTGACTATACTTCAATAAACAAAAGATATGTAAAGGCATTTCATACAAGAGGAAACACAGGAAAAGGGACCTGACCATGATAACAAGGTTTAAAACCACAGATATTCAGTCACCCACCAGTTTGGCAAATTTTTAATTTTTTTGTATCAGGTGGAGCAAGGGGAACTCACACATTACTGGTAATGGCTAAAATTGGTACAGTCACATTGGAGAACAAATTTGAGTTATTGAATAAAATTAAAGATGTATTGTGTCCCATGCCCCAGCAAATCCAGAAATTGTAGAGAAACTTACTCATAAGCCCTAGGAGATGTGCACAAGACTAATCATAAGCAGCAATGTTTGTAATAGCAAATAAAAAAAGCACCCCCCCCCAAAAAAACCCTGGGTGATTCTGAAACAGAAAAAGGACATTAGTGGAAGAAGTAGTGAAATCTCAACAAAGGCTGGAATTCAGTTAATAGTAATGTATCAGTGCTGAGTTCATGGTTTTGACAAATGTACTGGGATAACGTCAGATGCTGACATTGGAGGAAACAAGATGAGGGGTGTATGGAGGTGAGTATCTTTCCAACTTTCCTGTAAATCGAGAATTGCTCCAGAATCAAAGGTTTAGGAAAAAAGAAAAAATGTCCTTCTGTAGGAGGCTGGATAAATTGTTGTATGTTTATTTGTGGTATATTTATAATGAAATTAAACATTTTTACTGAAGTATAGTTGATTTATAATGCTGTGTCTGCTGTCAGCAAAACGCTCTTGGGAACACTCTTTGGGGTGCAAATAGGAGCATCTCTCTCCTAGGTATGTATTTATCTGTAGAGAAACCTTTGTATTTCTTTTCTTTTCTTTTTTAATGGAAGTACTGGGGATTGAACCCAGGACCTCATGCATGCTAAGCATGCGCTCCACCCACTGAGCTATATCCCTCCTCCCCTCTATTTTGTATGTTAGAAAACACATTTCACAATTCTGTTTTCTATTTTTGGTAATTTTTGTAATTCTTTTGTTTCTCCTACCAGACCAGATGCTCCTTGAAAGGTGTGGTCTGTCCTCATTCAATTGTCTATTCACAAGACTATGCTTTCAGGGATCATTGCTGTAGTCCATGACTAGAAAAGTTTCTCTGAGTGTGTAGAGCACCTGAAACCACGAGGAGGAGGCGCAGCATTCTCTCCAGAGTGTGAAGCCAGCTCTCAGTGTCACTTTTGTGACTGTCATTTGCCATTGATGATCGTCCTTCTTTTCCTTTGGGAGACTAAGAGGGAGAGAACTCAATCTGAGTGGGGAAAAAAATAAGTCTATTTGCCATAGCACTTAGCAAGACATTATCATCTCTAATAAAAATATTATTATTAATAGCTATAGTTATATCAAGATGACCAACTCATCCCAGTTTGCCTGGAACTTTCCTCACTTCAGCACTGAAAGCCCCATGTGCCTGGAAACTCCTCAGTTCCAAACACACTGGGACAGTTGGTCACCCTAATTATGATGTATAATATAAATAGAAAACATTTTTGAGCTCTACTGATATTAACTTGCTCCTCACAACATCCTGATGAGCTGGGAATACTACCATCATCCCTACTTTTCAGATGAGGAAACCAGCTCAGAGAGGTTAAGTAAATTCTTCAAGGCTACGCAGCTAGGAAGAGGCAGAGGCAGAAACAAGTCCATCCTTTTACCACCATGGGCATTCAGTAAATATTTGTTGATTGAAACAGTAAATTAAGAAAGCTGGGGGGAGGGTATAGCTCAGTGGTAGAGTGTATGCTCAGCATGCATAATGTCCTGGATTCAATCCCCAGTACCTCCATTAAAATATATAAATAAACCTAATTCACCACGACCACCAAAAATAAAATAAAACTGTAAAAAAGAAAGAAAAAAGAATCCTTAGGAACTTAATATTTGACCGTAAAATCTCGTCAAAGAGGTAAGACACTCTTACCCATGTTTCTATCTCTAGTAATCTAGCAGGGTCTGGAACATAGGAAATCGACTGTGAAATCACACAGAACCAGTGGCATTTGGTTAATTACCAAAGGAGGAAATAAGCTTTCATGGGCTGGAGGAGGAAGGAGAAGGTTATAAGGACTGGAGCAGATTTTTAAAAAGTTTCAGACCCAATCCACATTTTAAAGGCCATGTGGATTATGAATTCAGTGAGCCCAGTAACCATCAGTTTGCTGACCATGTGCCAGACACTTAATTAGAAAGCATCACTGGGGTGTGGGTGGGCAGAGTCTCCCTGAACACAGGGTATGAAAGGGAAAGTGATCCTGGGAAATTCAGAGAAGGACCAGAGTTAGATATGGAGGCTGGAGATTGATGCTCCAAGACTGGTGGGATAATAATAATAATAATAATAATAATAATAACAACAACAGAAGTAGCAATCATATATGAAAGCCTTCAGTAATGCATATCACGCACCAGACTCCCTTCTAAATGTTCTTGTGTGTAATCTCACTGAATTCTCACAACCACCTCAGGATGTAGGTACTATCGCCCACCTCGTTTCCTGGAAGAGGGGACTTTTAACATAAGGTGACTGGTGAGGGAGTCTTAGGCTTTGTTCAGGCCATGGGGAGCCCCCTCAGCAGAATTTTCAACCTCAGCACCATTGACAGTTGGGGATCAGATGGTTCTTTGTGGTGGGGGGCCGTCCTGTGTATTGTAGGATGTTTAGCAGCCTCCCTGACCAGTAGCACCCTCTCTCCACAGTGTGACAATCAAAATGTCTCCGGACATGGCCAAAATCGCTTCCAGTTAAGAACCATTGCACTAAGCGTTTTTTTTTTTTGAACAGTAAAGGGATACATACCTGGGTCTGGAATTATTTCCCTGGGAGCCCAGGAACACAAGCCTTTCCTCTCCAGCTCCCTGCCTGCATGAATAGAAGTCATGTCCAAAGTAGAATTTGAGCCAGTCCACAATTCAAACCTCTGTTCCGTTTCCACCATCCTCAACGGCTGTGGCGGCAACAGATGAAGTCAGCACTCCCAGGGCAGCGTGTGAAATGCCTGGCTCCCAAAGGGGTCTGGATAAGTGTGTATCCCAAGACTCTAAAATCATTTATAGTCTTGTGCATCCCTCTTTGGACTTAGTTTCACTCACCCATCGTATACTGAGCACCCCCTGATCACCACTGGGAGAGGACCTGGAGTCTCAAAGATGAATGAGATGTGGTACCTGCCCCCCACAAAACCCTTTCAAGACTCATATTTCATCTAAGAATATGGATCTGATTGTGTCACTATCATCTGTTAAAAAACCCCAATAGTGTCCACACAAAAACCTGTACACAGGTGTTCAGAGCAGCGTTATTCATCGTAGCCAAAAAGTGGAAGCGACCCAAATGTCCATCAGCTGATAAGTCGATTACAAAATATATATGCGTACAATGGGATATTGCTCAGCAATAAAAAGGAATGACACTCTGATATGTGCTACAACAGGGCTGAATCTCCCAAACAATGGATTGCCTCCACCTTTTGGCTCTGGTGAGTACTGCTGCTTTGAACAATCACGTAGAAGTCTTTGTTTGAATACCTGTATTCATTCTTTTGAGCGTATACCTAGGAGTGGAATTGCCAGGTCACATGGTTCTTCTCTGTTTAACCTGTTGAAGAGGATTGGTTTTGAAAGCAGAGAATTTGCTGAGGAAAGAGAATGAGATGAGTCAAAGCTGATGCCATTTTTTTTTCATTGAAGTAGAGTTGATTTACAATGTTGTGTTAATTTCAGGTGTACAGCAAAGCAATTCAGTTATACATACATATATATTATTTTTCAGATTCTTTTCCATTAGAGGTTATTATAAGATATTGAAATAGTGCCCTGTGCTATACAGTAGGTCCTTGTTGTTTATCTATGTTATATATAATAGTGTGTATCTGTTAATCCCAAACTCTCACATGATTCCATAATTTGTGACCCAGGCAATTGAGTGACTGAGTGGTAGTGCCAGTCACAGAGTTGGGAACACAGCAGGAGGCGGGGGTGGATGGCAGAGGAGGGGAAAGTCATGAGATCAGTTTTAGACATGTTTGGACCCAGTGAACCAGATCCTGCAGGTATATGTAACTGAGTATGTCAGACGCTCTGTAAGGGAGACAGACATTAAACTAACTATGCAACTAATAGTGATGGTGACAAGTGTGACAAAGGAGAAGTGGAGGGCCAGTGAGAGGATGTGCCTTGAGAATCTGGTCAGGCCTGAGGGGCAGGGAAGGTTTGCTTAGCGAGGGATATCTGGGTGAGATTTAAAGGATGAGTAGGAGTTAACAGGAGTTCTGATTATCTACTGCTGCATGACAAACTGCCCTAAAGCAGTGGCTTAACTAATAATCATTTATTTGGTTCACAAATCTGGGGGGTTGACCAGACTCAGTGATAGTTAGATGGTGGGTGAACTGGAGTCACCTCAAAGGTTTACACACTCAATATCTGGGGGGGGGAGGGTGGCGCTCAGTGGTAGAGCACATGCTTAGCATGCACAAGGTCCTGGGTTCAATCCCCAGTACCTCCATTAAAAGTAAATAAAAATAAATAAACCTAATTACCTCCCCCTCTCCCCACCAAAAAAAATATGGTGGTGGATGCTGGTATTGGCCAGGACCTCAGCTGGGACTTTTGGCCAGAACACCAGTGCATGGCTTCTCCATGTAATATAGGCATCCTTCCAACATGGTGGCCTCAGGGCACTGGGACTTCTTACAGGGCATCTCAGGGCTCTGAAGACAATGTCCCAAGAGAGCTAAACAGGCACTGTATTGCTTTATGACCTCACTTCAAAAGCCACCTAGAGGGGGGGTGGTATAGTTCAGTGGTAGAACGCATGCTTAGTATGCATGAGGTCCTGGATTCAATCCCCAGTAAATCCAATAAACAAACAAACCTAATTACCTAACCCGCAAAAAAAGTCACATAGAATCATGTTAGTTTGCTAGGGCTGGCATAACAAAGTACCACAAACTGAGTGGCTTAAACCACCGAAATTTATTGTCTCACTTATAAATTCTGAAGGCCAGAAGTCCAAGGTATTGGTAGGGTTGATTCCTTCTGAGGACTGAGGGAGAATCTGTTCCATGCTAATCTCGTTTCTGGTGGTTTGCTGGCAATCTTTGGTGTTCCTTCCTTCTACTTCATCACCCCAATCTCTGCCTTTACCATCATGTGGCGTTGTCTCTGTGTGCATGTCTGTGTCCAAATTTCTTCTTCTTTATAAGGACACCAAAAATATCAGATTAGGAGCCTACTCCGGTATAACCCCATCTTAACTAATCTAACTACAACAACCGTATTTCCAAGTAAGATCAAATTCTAAGGTACTGGGGGTTGAGACTTCAACACAGAAATTTGGGAGATGGGGGACACACAATTCAACCTATACCAAGTCACTTTTGCTATAGTCCCAAGCCTGCCCAGATTCAAGGGGAAGGATCCCAGAACCCAATTCTTACTAGGCGACATGCCAAAGTCACTTTGTAAGAAGAGCATGTGGGATGGGAGATAGTCTTGGGGCTATATTTGGAAAATAGAAATGTCAAGTGCTGAAGTAGAAGCTGGGGTGGAGGAAGTAGCAGCATCCTCAGCAGCCCTGGAATCAAACTATACCCATTAGGATGAATTTGGCTACAAGAAAAAGAACACTCAACTAACAATAACTGGAGGTGAATGACCCAGGGATAATTCCACACTCAGCCACATCATCACAGATTTTCATGTCCTCTGCTCTACTGTCCTCTGAGTACTGGTGTTTGATCCTTGTTTTTGTCTCACAGTCACAAGATGGCTGCTGCAGCTCCAAGCATCACATATTCGCTCCACTGTCCCAAGTGGGAAAGATGGAGAGCAAGAGCAAAGGCTCATTTTGTTATGAGTCTCAAGCTCTTTATCCAGAAAGATTTTCTGTGGTAGATTGCAAAAATTATCCTATTCTCCTTTTCTCCCTGTATCCATGTCTCAGCCTTAAAACTTTGCAGTGCCCCTTCACTATGATTCTGGGCTTAGCCATGGAATGTGCCTTGGCAAATCGGGTATCAGCAGATGTGACGCCAACAGAAGTTTGAACTGGGCTTGTGAGATTGGGCTCGTTCACTCCTGAGCCCCTGCTATGACCCTGAGAACCTGCCCCGGCTGGCTTGCCAGAGGATGAGGAAGAAACATATGGAGCATAGCTGAGTTGCTCTAGTCGCTTAGGCCAACCTTGACCACTCAAAAGCCACTGACCACCAGATAGGTGAGTGAGCCCTGCCGAGATCAGCAGAACCACCTAGC